CCCTAAGTGAATCCCCCCCCCCCCCCCCTTCCTCCCCACTCGCGACACCTACCGAACGAGAGCCAAAATTCTGCAGAAGTTCGGGATGTCGAGCGCCAAGCCCGAGCTCTGCGTGGACCTGAACGGCTCGACCCTGGCCTGGTCGGAGGGGAAGTCCTCGCGCAAGTACGTGTTCCAGGTCTCCACCGTGCTGGGTCTCCAGCTGCTCCTCCAGGCAGACGCCCAGGACACTTCCCGGGACTGGTTCTCCTCCATCGACCATGCCATCCACAGACTGGTGAGGTGTGGGTGTGGGTGGGTCGGCTGGGTGGGTGGGTTTTGAGGGGTAAATTCTCTTGTAGATGGAAATTTGTTATTTATTTTGACTTTTGAGGTTTCTAAGCTTTTTCAAGCTGGTTCTCGTTGCTTTGGCTCTTCGTGTAAGCATGTAGAATGTAGTAAGACGTGAGACAGCGGTAAGATGTTATATAAAAACTTGTTTTCTGACTCCAATGGTCCTTGTAGATATTTCGATCTAGTCACGACGGATTCATTTTTTTTTTCCGTTTGGAAATCCAAATCCATCAATTCGGGCACGCTCTCTCGTCGTGAGCCGGGATTGCACCCTGGGAGGCTGAATGAGAGCCCCATAGATCTAAGTCAGGTCTCCCCCTTTCTGCAGGCCGAGACGATTAATCAAGGCTCCCCGTTCCATTCCCCGCACGGGGAGAAGCCGAGGAAGGCGAACCTCACCCGGTCCAAGTCCACGAAAGGTGAGTTTTTTTTCCCGCCATGGGGGAGCTTTGTGACTCGAAAAATGAAATGAAAAATTTTTTGTATGCTGAGAGCATTGGGAAGACTTTGTCTGGGAACAGGAAATGGGTGTGGGATTCCCGCGATCTCGAGGGGGGATCGATTGGGATCGGGGGCCTCAAGGGTTTTCAAAGCTCGTCGGGGGGGAATTTTCGGTCTTTTTTTTTGTCTCTGGACTCGCATTGTCTGAAGTGTGGTCGGTTCTGCTCGTCCGAACTGGCTTCCTTCCGGTTTTTGTTCATATGGTCACTGTGTGGAACGTGTTCGTACGTGTTGGAAGAGTGAAGCTTCCCGTAGAAATTGTGTGAAAAAAAAATTCTTCTTTCATTTTCCCGTCTATTCAACATTGCGACAGCAACGGACTGCGTTTCCGGGCTTCCCCGCTGCCGATCCGACACGCTCTGCCGGTCCGACCGGTGGCTCACATGGCGTCGGGCCGACCGGTGGCTCACGTGGCGTCGGTCCCTCGGGGCGTTGTGCGACAGGGCGGCTCGCCCGGTTGCGAGTCAGGAATTTCCATTACCGAGCAGTTTAAAAATTCGCCGCCGTGATTTAGACTGCAGCTGCCCGGATGGGGGGGGGGGGGGGGGGGGGGGGGGG